CTTTTCCAAGTCTTGCAATACACACACATACATGCGCACATTTTCTAAGAAACTTCCCCTTATTTCCCTCCACCTTGAAGCAACTTTGGAAAAGTTGTCGTATTCGAGGCAAGGAGAAAAGACAAACACCCGTTCGATGCTTCCTAATCTGCCTCCCTTGAAACTGCTTTTCACCTCTTTCTCAATCACTCTGGACTTTTAACATATTCTGTGCTTTTATTATCAGCTCGTGGGTGGAAGGAGCGCCTGTAATTCTTCTCTCTTTCTTTTCTCTCTCTGCTTTTTCCCTCTCTTTCAATTCTCCGTTTCCCTTTTGTATCGTCCTGCACCAGGTAACCAGGCGCCTGCCTTCTTCGGGAATGTCTACTATCTTCGTGCTTTCTCAAACCTCCAGCAATCACAGCTTCTCTGAGTGAATAAGGTGACTTTTATTTCTTCTCCTCCTTTGAATCGCGAACCCTCCGCCTCCTTTGCCGCTTTTTCCACTCGACGTGCTTCACCTTTCGATAAGCGTCTCGTCTTCCTCAACCTGCTCCTTTTCCTTTCCTTTGAAACATTGCCTCTCCGTCGCATTTCAAAAGCTCCTTTTTAATTACCGTTCCTCTTTCTCACTCCCTAGTTGGAAATATCCCCGTTTCCTCCATATCGCTCAGCTGCCTTTTGCCATATTTGATATCATTCAAATATTGGGGTACTGAAAACAATGTCTATCCGAAAGGTGGACGGAAGGAGAAGTTTTTTTCGTAGCTTTGAAAAATTATTTTTAGAGGACAATAACTACCAGAATCCCCGGGAATTACTGGAGATTTTGGCAGTTACAAAAACTAAGGGGATTCATCACTTAACGAAGATGTTCATAGAGAGAGCACGGTCCAGTGTGACTCAAATATTTGGGTGCGCTACAATGCTCCAGTGGGATTCCTTCCCAGAGCTCGGGATGCTTCTCTGTTCTTGAGATGAAAGGCACATGACTGTGTTTTAGATGGGTTGGGGATCAGCTGGTGTTTTCTCATTTGGTATCAGCCATTGATTGAGGTTCTGGGTTTGAGCCTGCCACTTTTGGACTCTTGCTTGCTGAGGTGTTCCAGCGAGTGTCTCTGTAGAATGTATTGTCGAAGGCTTTCATGGCTGGAATCACTAGGTTCTTGTGGGTTTTTTCAGACTATAGAGCCATGTTCTATTTATTTATTTATTTATTTTACTTGTATACCGCAGTTTCTCAGCCCAACAGGCAACTCAACGCGGTTTACAACAAGGATAAGAATCAATCAACGATATACAATTTAAAACCATAAAAGCATAATATACAATATTGACACAACAATAGACAACACAATGCATCTCATAACTAGAGTCGTGATCCAATTCGTCGTCCAAATTTCCATTCCTGTAATCATCACATTCATTGCAAATTGAATCCAGACAACACAGAAGTACTCAACCACCAACAACCACCATGTCAGACTACACAGAGAAGCCATTGAAATCCACAAGCATGTGGACAATTTCAACAGAAAGGAAGAGACCATGAAAATGAACAAAATCTGGCTACCAGTATTAAAAAAACTCTAAAATTACAACAGCAAAACAGCAGAGAGGAAACAACCAGGCACATCTTAACACCTCTCAACAAGAGATTTTCCCAGGCTCAGGCAGGCCTTCAAATGCTAATGAAGGTGGTCAGTTGAAACATTCACACCCAGCTCTAGCAGAGAAGAGCTCTTTGCCCCACCCCAGTCATTCCACAGATATATAAACCCATTGTCCTAATTCCAACAGACCTCACTACCTCTGAGGATGCTTGCCATAGATGCAGGCGGAACGTCAGGAGAAATGCCTCTAGAACATGGCTCTATAGCCCGAAAAAACCCACAAGAAGCTAGTGTCTCTGTAGATCTTAGAAAACTATTGATTGCATCATTGACGTGCTGGCTGATCCAAACAAGGGATGAGCTGGAGATGTCTCTGCCTTGGTCCTTTCACTATTGGCTGCTACTTCCCGGCGGATGTCAGGTGGTGCAATACCGGCTAAGCAGTGTAATTTCTCCAGTGGTGTGGGTCGCAGACACCCCGTGATAATGCGGCATGTCTCATTAAGAGCCACATCCACTGTTTTAGTGTGGTGAGATGTGTTCCACACTGGGCATGCATACTCAGCAGCAGAGTAGCACAGCGCAAGGGCAGATGTCTTCACTGTGTCTGGTTGTGATCCCCAGGTTGTGCCAGTCAGCTTTCGTATGATATTGTTTCTAGCACCCACTTTTTGCTTGATGTTCAGGCAGTGCTTCTTGTAGGTCAGAGCATGGTCCAGAGTGACTCCCAGGTATTTGGGTGCACTGCAATGCTCCAGTGGGATTCCTTCCCAGGTGATCTTCAGAGCTCAGGATGCTTCTCTGTTCTTGAGATGAAAGGCACATGTCTGTGTTTTAGATGGATTAGGGATCAGCTGGTTTTCCCTGTAATAGGCAGTAAGAGCACCTAGAGCAGTGTTTCTCAACCTGGGGGTCGGGACCCTTGGGGGGGTCGTGAGGGGATTTCAGAGGGGTCGCCAAAGACCATCAGAAAACACAGTATTTTCTGTTGGTCACAGGTGTTTTGTGTGAGAAGTTTGGTCCAATTCTCTTGGTGGGGTTCAGAATGCTCTTTGAGTTTTGGCAAACTACAAATTCCAGCAACTACAACTCCCAAGTGTCAAGTGTCTTTTCCCCAAACTCCACCAGTGTTCACCTTTGGGTATGTTGAGTATTTGTGCAAAGTCTGATCCAGATCCATCATTGTTTGAGTCCAGAGTGCTCTCTGGATGTAGGTGAACTACAACTCCAAAACTCAAGGTCAATACCCACCAAACCCTTCTAGAATTTCTGCTGTTCATGAGAGTTCTGTGTGCCACGTTTGATTCAATTCCATCATTGGTGGAGTTCAGAATGCTCTTTGATGTAGGTGAACTATAAATCCCAGCAACTTCAACTCCCAAATGTCAAGGTCTGTTTCCCCCAAACTCCACCAGTGTTCACATTTGGCAGATTGAGTATTCGTGCCAAGTCTGGTTCTGATCCATCATTGTGTGAGTCTGCGGTGCTCTCTGGATTTAGGTCAACTACAACTCCAAAACTCAAGGTCAATGCCCACCAAACCCTTCCAGTATTTTCTGCTGAACATGGGAGTTTCGTGTGCCAAGTTTGGCTCAATTCCATCATTGGTGGAATTCGGAATGCTCTTTGATTGTAGGTGAACTATAAATCCCAGCAACTACAACTCCCAAATGACAAAATCAACCCCTCCCCAAATCCCATCAGTATTCCAATTTTGGCGTATTGGGTATTTGTGCCTAATTTGGTCCAGTGAATGAAAATACATCCTGGATATCCGATATTTACCTTATGATTCATAACAGCAGCAAAATTACAGTTATGAAATAGCAACACAAATAATTTTATGGTTGGGGGGGTCACTACAACATGAGGAACTGTATTAAGGGGTCATGGCATTAGGAAAGTTGAGAAAAACTGACCTAGTGCTTCGGAAAGCTTCTGTTCTACCATTTCAAAGCTCCCTGCTTGAACGGTGATGGCACGATCATAAGCATAGATGAAACTACAACCTCCAAATGACAAAATCAATCCCTTCCAACCCCACCAGTATTCAAATTTGGGCTTATTGGGTATTTGTGCCAAATTTGGTCCAGTGAATGAAAATACATCTTACATACCAGATATTTATATTATGATACATAACAGTAGTAAAATTACAAGCAGGGGCGGCTCATCCATTACGCGAAGTAAGCGGTTGCAGAACACTTTTTTTGCCAGGGGCGCAGAGGCGCCTCTGTAAATGCCCCTCGACGCCACTTGAGGAGCGCCCCCTCAGCTCACAACAGCCCTAGCAGTCCGGGGGGAGCCTCGGCTTTCTTGCCTCGCTGCCGGGCGATCCTCTTCCCAAAGGGGCCGGGCCCTTGAGCCTCGCCTAGCCCCTCTCGTTCCTGCTCCACCTGGCCACCGGGTGCGTGAGCAGAGCTGGTGCTCAATTGTTCTCCGCGTTCCATCCCTTCCCCATGACCGGCTCCCTTTCCTCATCCCCCGCCGCTCTCCACACCTGGCCCACTTCGGGTCCGGAGGCGTGTCTGAAGACCCCAGCGTGCGCACCAAAAGTCGCCTCTTCTCCTGACTTTCTCTTCAGCCATTGGGACCGAGAGAGAGAGAGAGAGAGAGAGAGAGCCCCTCCGGCTGGAGGTATCTCCCACCTCCGCTCCGTCCTTTGTTTTTGCGTCTACCTTCAGGAAAGGTGGGCATCTCCACCTCTGTCTCTCTGTCTCTCTCTCTCTCTCTCTGGTCCCAATGGCTGAGGAGAAAGTCAGGAGAAGAGGTGACTTTTGGTGCACACACCGGGGTCTTCAGACATGCTTCCGGACCCAAAGCGGGCCAGGCAAGGGAGCAAGTGCGGAAAGTGTAGTTACTGGGATGTACAGTTCACCTACAATCAAAGAGCATTCTGAACTCCACCAATGATGGAATTGAACCAAATATGGCACACAGAACTCCCATGACAAACAGAAAATATATATCAATAATTGGTTGGGGAGGGCGCCAAAATACTGTTTGCTTATTGTTGAAAATTACCTAGGGCCGCCTCTGATTAAAGTTATGGAGTAGCAACAGAAATAATGTTAAGGTTGGGGGTCACCACAACATGAGGAACTGTATTAAGGGGTCGCAGCATTAGGAAGGTTGAGAACCACTGATGAAGCATAATAGAGTGCAAAGTGGGTAGGCCTCTTAAGTTGTGGGATGGGATGATGCAGGTAATTGGCACGCACTCAACCTGGTTTCAACATGCATCTTAACCCCTGTTTTCAAACTGGTGTTGTGGGATGTTACTTGTTTTAACTGTGCATTTTCCCTTCCTGCTTGGCGCCTTTCGAAGCCGTCCGGTTGCCTTGCTGCCTGACCGTGTCAACATTAAACGCATGTTCATGTGCTTTGTACTGTGTTTTGCATCACTAGCTGGAGAAAGCCGTGCGCCGTCGGAACGCGGCCCTTTCAATGTCGGCCAGACCGTCGGTGCGACCTCTCCTTTTAAGAGCCTTCTCAGACGAATCTAATGTGTTGTAACAGGTATCCCGTTCTCGAGAATTAGGGCCCCGGAAGCTACGGATTAACCAAGTGGCCCCTGAAATCAATTAAATCTGTGATTCTTGTAATCTCAGCTCTTATTGGCCGCAGCGGTCCTTACCGAGCAGAACCAGGTACACTGCCTGCCGCACAACTTTGTGGGTTTGGAACAAGCAAATGAATTGAAGTGTCTCGTAGAATTAAGATTTCTAGAAGTGTGTATGCTTGCTTCGTACTCTCGTTTCAAAGTGTCCGAGAACTGGAACGGGCCGCCATTTTTGTGGCCCTCAACCACATCGGATTATCTAGATTGACCTCCTTTTATCTCCTTCCCCAAAAAGCTTGTTTTGAGAGCTTACGACAGTCGCTGCCCAACATTATTCCTAGCTACAACTGGGAATAACTGGGAAGATTCCATAAGAATTAAAGAATTTGGTCAGCAGCTAGTCATGTGTTCTTTTGCTGATTTACCGTATATACTCGAAGATAAGTCAAGTTATTGTCGAAGGTTTTCATGGCCGGAATCACTGGGTTGTTGTAAGTTTTTTCAGGCTATATGGCCATGTTCTAGAGGCATTCTCTCCTGACGTTTTGCCTGCATCTATGGCAAGCATCCACAGGCCATCAGATGCTAATCAATGTGGTCAGTTGAAACATTCATACCTAGCTCCAACAGGCAAGAGTTCTTTGTCCCACCCTGAACATTCCACAGAAATATAAACCCAATTTTCCTAGTTCCAACAGACTTCACTACCTCTGAGGATGCTTGCCATAGATGCAGGCGAAACGTCGGGGTTTATATATCTGTGGAATGACCAGGGTGGGACAAAGGACTCTTGTCTGCTGGAGCTAGGTGTGAATGTTGGAACATGAAAGGCACTTGACAGATGCAACTGTCTTTCGGGTTGCAAAGGTCGACAACAGGCTACACACAATTGGTTGGAAACCCACTCCAACCCGGGCTGGCTTCGAGCTCATGACCTTTTGGTCAACCAGAAAAGTCAGCCATAGCAGAGCACCTGATGAACCAACCTGGACACAGCATATTATTTGAGAACACAGAAATGCTGGACCACTCCAACAACCACCATTGAAATCCACAAGCATGTGGACAATTTCAACAGAAAGGAGGAGACCATGAAAATGAACAAAATCTGGCTACCAGTATTAAAAAAAATCTCTAAAATCACAACAGCAAAACAACAGAGAGGAAACAATCGGGGACAGCTAATCACCTCTCAACAAAAGATTGCCCCAGGCACTAACAAGGCACACCAAACAACTGCCAGGCCATCAAATGCTAATGAAGGTGGTCAGCTGAAACATTCACACCTAGCCCCGACAGACAAGAGTCCTTTGTCCCACCCTGGTCATTCCACAGTAATATAAACCCAATTTTCCTAGTTCCAACACTCACTACCTCTGAGGATGCTTGCTATAGATGCAGGCGAAATGTCAGGGTTTATATATCTGTGGAATGACCAGGGTGGGACAAAGGACTCTTGTCTGCTGGAGCTAGGTGTGAATGTTGGTACATGAAAGGCATTTGACAGATGCAACTGTCTTTCGGGTTGCGAAGGTCGACAACAGGCTACACACAATTGGTTGGAAACCCACTCCAACCCGGGCTGGCTTCGAGCTCATGACCTTTTGGTCAACCAGAAAAGTCAGCCATAGCAGAGCACCTGATGAACCAACCTGGACACAGCATATTATTTGAGAACACAGAAATGCTGGACCACTCCAACAACCACCATTGAAATCCACAAGCATGTGGACAATTTCAACAGAAAGGAGGAGACCATGAAAATGAACAAAATCTGGCTACCAGTATTAAAAAAACCCTCTAAAATCACAACAGCAAAACAACAGAGAGGAAACAATCAGGGACATCTAATCACCTCTCAACAAAAGATTGCCTCAGGCACTAACAAGCCACACGAAACAACTGCCAGGCCATCAAATGCTAATGAAGGTGGTCAGCTGAAACAATCACATCTAGCCCCAACAGACAAGAGTCCTTTGTCCCACCCTGGTCATTCCACAGATATATAAACCCATTTTCCTAGGTCCAACAGACCTCACTACTTCTGAGGATGCTTGCCATAGGTGCAGGCGAAACGTCAGGAAAGAATGCCTCTAGAACATGGCCATATAGCCTGAAAAAACCTACAACCTACAAGGAGAAGTTGATCCAATGAATTTCCTCCAAATCAAATTTCCAAGCCCTGGGAATAAGCATAGAGAGACACTTCGGCATATTCTGCTCCCTTGGATGCGATGCAACAGTACTTGATATGCAAGCAGAGCATGGAAAATACAGATTTTTAATGAGCCCAGGGGGAAAAAAATAGATTTCAATACGAAATAGGCTCTTTTTGACGCCCAAGTGTTTTGGCATTGCACCTGCGAAGCTTGAGCAACGTGGTTGTTTGCATCTGCTTTTGCTGCATGTTAATATGCCTGAATAAAATACGCTGAATAGAAATGGACTTAAGTTGCTCTGATTGCTTGCAACTTTGCAAATTTGTATGCATGCCTGTACATATATGTAGTGCATTTCTCATTTCCATCATGCTTTGCTATATGTTTGCTTTTTCAGTGTGTTGGATTTGTGACCGCAAGGGGGGAAATGCCAAACCAGTCGAACCCCAAATCTATGAATATGTCTATTTAAATTCACATGATTACTAAGTATGTTTCTCAAATATTAAGTTGTATTGTCGAAGGCTTTCATGGCCGGAATCACTGGGTTGTTGTATGTTTTTCGGGTTGTATGGCCATGTTCTAGAAGCATTCTCTCCTGACGTTTCACCTGCATCTGTGGCAAGCATCCTCAGAGGTAGTGAGGAAAACCAGGAGAGAATGCTTCTAGAACATGGCCATACAACCCGAAAAACATACAACAACCTATTATTATTATTATTATTATTATTATTATTATTATTATTATTATTTACCTATTATTATTGTTGTTGTTTTTGCTTCTAGAAAATGGCCATACAACCCGAAAAACCTACAACAACCTATTATTATTATTATTATTATTATTATTATTAACCTATTATTATTATTGTTGTTGTTTTTGCTTCTAGAACATGGCCATACAACCTGAAAAACCTACAACCTTTTTATTATTATTATTATTATTAATAATAATAATAATAATCTATTATTATTGTTTTTGCTTCTAGAAAATGGCCATACAACCCGAAAAACCTACAACAACCTATTATTATTATTATTATTATTATTATTATTATTATTATTACCTTTTATTATTGTTATTATTATTATTATTATTATTATTATTATTATTAATCTATTATTATTGTTTTTGCTTCTAGAACATGGCCATACAACCCGAAAAATCTACAACAACCTTTTATTATTGTTATTATTATTATTATTATTATTATTATTATTATTATTATTGTTTTTGCTTCTGGAACATGGCCATACAACCCGAAAAACCTACTTAACCTTTTATTATTGTTATTATTATTATTATTATTATTATTATTATTATTAATCTATTATTATTGTTTTTGCTTCTAGAACATGGCCATACAACCCGAAAAATCTACAACAACCTTTTATTATTGTTATTATTATTATTATTATTATTATTATTATTATTATTATTGTTTTTGCTTCTGGAACATGGCCATACAACCCGAAAAACCTACTCAGCCTATTATTATTGTTATTATTATTATTACTAAAAATAATAACCTATTATTATTGTTGTTGTTTTTGCAGGAGGGACATTTTGCAGCACATTTTGCTCGAGTTTTTCAATTAATATCTCATCATAGAATCTCAACCAATTTAATGTATGTGTTGTTGAAGGCTTTCATGGCCGGAATCACTTGGGTTGTTGTGAGTTTTCCGGGCTGTATGGCTATGTTCTAGAAGCATTCTCTCCTGACATTTTGCCCACATCTGTGGCAGGCAGCCTCAGAGGTTGTGAAGTCTTTTTGTAGGATATTGTCACTTTTTTGTTCCTGATCTTTCCGCAATTTACTATCGTATTATTCACATAAGCAACCTGAATTCTAATGGTGGGAAATCAGGAAGTTTTCCCATTTACTACTCTCCAAGTGCCATGGTGTATGTGACCAAAATAGAAATATAAAACGGCACTTGCGTTGGAAGATCACACATCTGACAGTTGGAACAGAAGGGAAACGCTGCATTTTACACATTGGACATGCCTGTCATGTGCTCTTCTCTTCCCAAACATAGTCATATGGATTTTCCTATGAAAAGCCAAGGTGCGATCTGCTAAAATATGGCTTACGATTTGTGAACCTGTCTCGATTGACAAGTATGTCAGCAACTAAATTTATAATATTATAATGTAATGCAAAAGAAGGAAGAAAGGAGAGAAAGAAAGGAAAAAGGGGAGGGAAGGAAAGAGGGAGTGAAGAGGACCAGTTGAAGTTTCCAAACAGTCTTCAAGGGCAACCCCACGTAGAGTGCGTTGCAGTAGTCTATTTTCCATGTTTTTATGATAGAACTCAATGGGAAATGACATTTCTAACCCAGGAACACAAATCATGTTGCAATGATGCCACCTTTGAAGAGACGCCGGCATAATTGAGGACAGTCATTTATTGTTTGTTTGTTTGTTTATTTATTTGGGACTTTTATATCCCATCCTTTCTCAACCTCCGCAGAGGGGTTCAGGACGGCTAACAAAGCGGCACCCCATGGCGCCCACATAATAATAATAATAATAATAATAATAATAATAATAATACTTTATTTGTACCCCGCTACCATCTCCCCAAGGGACTCGGTGCGGCTTACATGAGGCCGAGCCCACAATACATCAATAATAAAAGCAATAACAACCAAACAATACAAAACAGTTAAAATAAATCTCTGTTGCAACTCAGAGTAAGCTTCACCTTGCTTCCAAACACCACCACACAAGAGCTGTCGTTTTATAGTTTATTGAGGAGAAAATCCAAGTCAAAATAAAGAATAAGCATTAC